ACATTACGCTCATTGAAATAAACCAGTCACAAAAGGACAGATACTGTATGATTCCGGGTAACCAGAGTAGTGGCATTCACAGAGACAGAAAGCAGAATGGTGGTTGCCACAGGATGGAGGAGGGGAAGGAGGGAATTGTTGTTTAATGGAAATAGAGTTTCAGTTTTGCAAGTTGAAAAAGTTCTGGAGATGGTCATGGTGATGGTTACACAACAATGTGCATGTACTTGTGCCACTGAGCTGTACACTTAAAAATGGTTAAGGTGGTAAACTTTGTACTATGTTTATTTTACAAAAAGAAAAAAATTGTTCTTAATTAACACTTTTAACCAATAAAATTAATTTATTAATTAGGTGGGATGCACTTAATTAAGGTCTGGGGATACAAAAATAAGCAAGAAGTCCCTGCCATTACTAAGCTCTTGGTAAAGAAGGAAGAAATGCATGTAAACCAACAGTTTTGATGCAGCGTCAGAGATGAGGCAAAGGTGCATCTAAGCTATGAAGGTGGCTCAACAGAGGGTGTGTGTATGAGTATGAGATGGAGGCAAATGTGTCTCTTGTTCTGGATACTACCCTGACCCCAGAGAAGAGTGCAAGCTGATTTGGTAGTCTGCACTCACTTGCTGTCATCTAGAAAGCCCAGTTTGTCCTAGTTTCCACAGAGTAGCTAACTCTCCTGGGCTCTGGGGTCAGAGTGTCTGGATTCAAATTGATGACTTTGGGTGACTTACTTAATCTCTTGGAGTCTCAGATTCCTTTTCTACACTGGGGTCAATAACAGAACCTACCTCATGGAGTTGTGAAGTTAGAATTAGGAAATATTTGCAAAGCACTGGTACCATGCTGGGCATGTTGTTAGGAACTCAAATGATCCCCACTTCGTTTTCCTCCAACTACTAAACTATTCCCTGACCATATGGATTTTGTGGCCAAACATCGTACCTTTTTACCCCCTACCTCCGACAAGCACGTTCCTGCAGGCCTTTCATTAGGAGCTAGAAAGGGCTATTTCCTCAAGCCCCGCCCCCCTCCTGGTCGGGGAGAAAGCCCTGGCTGACTGACAGGGCGTGCTGGGGCTGTGGGGTGGGGTGGGGTGGGGTGGGGGGCACCGCAGCTCACCAGAGTGCGAAAGAGAAATCATAAAGATTTCGTCTTCTTTGAAAACAAAAGATAAAAGCAGTCATACATTAATATCCGAGATGGACATGTTTCAGAAGCGAAGGAGTCACAGTTTCTAGGCTTCATTTCCGCCGCTTTGGGACCCAGCCCACTTTTTTGAAGCTACAGCCCCACCTGGTGGCGTCACATGCACACCCAGTCATTTATCTTGCCACAGCCCAGGCGATGGCGGTCCGCTTATTAAAAATAAGAATCTGACCATAATTTCTAAACTAAAAACAATACCTAATGGACTTCCTCCATAGTAAACAATCCCTTCCCAGGAAAAATTACGTTAATTTCTAATAAAACTTTCGTCTTGAACAAAGAATTCTTTTCTGAGAGGTACCGTATTTTCCTGTGTGGAATGTGCACCCATGTTTTTGGCCCAAATTTTCAGGAAAAAAATCTTTTAATTTTTTAAATTCAATTACTTTTTATTCACTTACTTATATTTAGATACTTGTTTTTGTATTATAAGGGAATTTTACTATTTATTTTTGAACGTATTATGGTACAAGAAATTTTACATAACAATTAGGTACAGAATTAGTACTACCCATGTGTAATGCACATCCTTATTTTTCCCTAAAAAATTTGGGCACAATTGTGCACATTATACACAGAAAAATATGGTAATTCCATTTCAACAACATAACTTTGTGAAACCCACTCTCCTTTATGGTAGGGATGTGCCCATTTCTCCACTACAGAAGGTCATGTTCCAGGATGACACCAGCACAAGTAGCCTGCTGCTCTCGCCTCACCCCCTGCTTCCTCGCGTGCCCCCACTGCCAACACAGGGCCATCCTGCTCTCCCTCCACATCCCGCCTCTGGTCTAGGTACTGCTAGCCCCTCCCTGGAATGGTCTTCCCCTTCCTGGCTGGTTCCCCAGAGTCATTGTGAGCTACACCTAGATGCCACCAGTCCAAGGGCACCCTTCCCACTGCACCCATTCTATGATGAACTCATCATGACACGTTTCATCCACCTATGACAGACTCACCAGAGAGTATTTTTGTCTGTTAGTTTGTTGTCTGTCTCTCCCAACTACAGTATCAGTATCACATACAATTCACGTTGACATTATTGGTCTTCATTTCTGCTCCCACGGCAGCACAGGGTGCCTGAGACGTAGACGCGTAACCATTTGTTGAATGAATCAGTCAGTCTTATCTTTTAGAATGGGGTTCCTCTGCTAGCTCAGCAGCCCACCCTGCCCTGTGCTGGAGCCAGGGATGAGAGAAATGACAAAGATGTGTGTGCTCTTTTTTTTCCCAGCAGTGATTTGGCAAGAAGCATGAGATCATTGAATATGTGGATGGATGTCTCCCAAGATACCAGGCTTCATTATTAACTCATTGAGCAGAGAATAAGCTGGCTCTGTCGGGGAGCCCATTTATTTTTCAGTAACCCTCTCTAAGTGTATTGGTTGTCACTGTACTTTGATATGGACATTTATTAGAAAATTTTTGTTATTTGTGGGACTAAAAATGCCCAAAGGAGAGTGGAAAAAACTGCAGATGACAGGCTCCGTCCTGTGTTTATAGTGTCCTCATACAGAACTTTAAAAATAAGGTCATTTAATTTCTGAGAACTGACCTTTATTACCAGTAACTGCCAGCAGATGTCACCATAGCACAAGACATGCTACACCCGTCTAGTCACACGAACATTTGTTGAGCCTCAGTCTGTCCTCAGAGCGGCTGCGGGACCCCTGACTCATTCAGACCTGCAACCAAATGGTGGTGACTTGATGTTCAGCTCCTGGACCCTGGGGCTCTGTCCCAGTGGAGGCAAAGATCTCACACTTGGGTGCCAACTCCTCCGGTTAAATTTCTGCTTCAAGAAATTTAACATTTCGAAACTTCAGAAATCAATGGGAATGGAGCTGGCTCTGTCCAGGGGATTGTTAATGGCCCCGGGTGGCCTCATCATATTTGCACAACCTTTCAATAAACAGCTTCCACTACAGGTCAGGTGGAAAAGAAAGCACATACTCCATCCAATCAGGACCGACTTGAAGTATTGATTTTACCACCTCCTTCCCCATCCCCCACTTTCGAAACATACTTAGCATATTACACAAGAGAAGTTGATCACTGGCAAACTCCCAAGCCACCAGGTCCCGGCTCGTTTTTGCTGGACTAGTGCATGGCCTCCTTTAGCTTCAATAACTCTTCCAAGGTTTCCTTAGGCCAGATATATAAATAGCTGAATCCTGGGGACCAGCAGAAACAAAAGAGGCATCTGCCTGGGCACAGGTGCTCCAGGTGGCTCTTCCTGATTGATCACTTCTGGGCTCCTTGGGAAGGTGCTGCCATAAACCTCAGTAGGAGCCTCTGGTCCCACCCCCCCCCCCCCCCCACCCCGCAGAGCCCTGGAAACAAAAGGCATTCCTGCCACAGGAGGGTGGCGAGTGGGCCCGGGAGCCTCTCCAGCTGACAAGACTTCCTTCCGCTGTAGATCCTGTCCCATTAGTGGGACACGGCCAGGAGAGCCATGGGAGGTATTTAGAGAACACTGTCTTATCAACCTGCGCCCCTGGGGGTGGCGCTCTTCTAGCTTGGCCCCTTCCCACTCTGACAGAGCAATGACTGCTTCGTGGCATACAGACATGGATTTTCTCCTCTCAATTATTCCAAAATTTCACATGTTCACACAAATTAACGGGCTAATTGGGCAAGACCCTTGCCTCTCTCTCACTTCCATCTGTTTCAATGACGAACAAAATCTGTTTTGCTTATTCTTTTCCTCTTTGGGTGTTTTTATCTCCTACCTGATTACATTGCCACCCTAAGGCTTGGGACTGAGGATAATCTCTAAGGTCTACATGACACCTTCCAAATGACGACAGAAGATAAGGCAGAGAAACAGTAGTATGGATGTTGTATACAAGATGGATATAAATTCCTTTATTCATTAAAAAAAACGTTCATTGAGGGGCTGCTAAATGCCAGGCATTGTACTGCTTAAGTATCAGCTGTTTCACTTGCCCAAATGCAGCAACTGGGAAGTGTGGACCAGTTCCCTAAGGCCCCGAGCCACGCTGCCTTACCTGTAACTGTGTAGGTAAGGGCCCCTCTGGGTCTCCTTGGGGTTACGAGTGATGATTGTGCAGAGCTGGTGTTTGGTAGCACTCAATGACTTCTTGTTTCTTTTTTTCTTTGGAATGGAGCCCAAAGGAGGCAGTTGTAGAGTCAAGCGTGGTCCATGAAACCTCCATTTGTTAGTCAAATGAACCTGGCGGGGACACAGCCACTCGCCTGCACTTATCGCTGTGTAAAAAGCAAGGCCTCTGACCCCGCTCCCTATCTTTAAGAAGTTTACTTTACCTGTACAAACACTAGGTATCAAAGAAACAAATAAGAGAAACACAAAAGTTCAGTTATTCCAGGTGGGAGTTAATTAGACTTAACATCAAATGGCGTCTGGACTGTCAGGTTTTAGGATAACAGAGTGGGGGTGGTCTTGGATTAGGGACCAGAAGGCCTGGTTCTGACCCCAGCCAGGATCACCGTTTACCTAACTAAAGTGTGTGACTTTGGACTTTACCTCTCTGTCTTGAGCCAAATTTCTCTTAATGAGAGCAAGGAGTTAGGTGCTGATTGGTCTGAGAGGCAGCCCTTCCCTTCCCCCTTCCTTCCGATACCACCCTGGGCACCTCCTGTGTCAGGACCTGTGCTTGGCGTGGGGGAGCCGAGGTCAGTAAGGGACACCCATGTCCCCAGTGTCCTCCCTTCCATTCTGGCCATAGCAAAGGAAACTCCCCAAATGACATTGATGTTCTGTGAATTCTAAGAATCTTTATTGTTAGCAAGTATCTTTTTGCGTTCAGTGCTATTCGAGGAAGGCGGACCCAGAGGAGGGAGCTTCCACTGGTCAGAAAGGCTCCATGGAGAAGAGGAACCATGGCAGATGTGGCTGGGGCTCCCAGCACTCAGAAGCCACCGCTGCTGGGGTCGGGGGCGGGGGGAGCAGTAGGCACCTCCGACACCCAGGTGGCCGGGGTTACCCCAGAGTTCACACCTGCTTTCTGGTACTGAATGATGTTTTTAAAAAATCAGATAATTCTTAGTCTTATACAGTAGGACACAACATCACTCAATAGCCTGTCTTCAAATTGAAACAATAGCCTTATTCCGTTTTCTCTTATTGTGGAAAAATACACATAACCTAAAATTTACCATTTTAACGACTTTTAAGTGTACAGTTCAGTAGCATTAAACATAGTCGCACTGTTGTACAACCATAACCACCATCCACTTCCAGAGCCCTCATCATCCCAAACGGAAATTCTGTCTCCATCAATGGAGGTTGTGGCTGATCTGAGAGACACAAACGGACTCTTTTCTCAAATGTTGTTATGTATATCAGGGGCATAGGTTCAAAGTCATGTCTGGCTTGAATGTTATGGCTTAATATGCAACCATTTGTTTGTGTCTCTCAGGTTAGCAGCGCCTTCTGCTGGGTTAAGCACTAATTCGCCATCCCCTCCCCCAGCCCCTGGCACCACCCTTCTGCTCTCTGTCTCTGCAAATCTGACTGCTCTAGGTGCCTCCTGTAGGTGGGACCACATGGTATGTGCATGACAACAGTGACAACAGCCTCATTCTTTCTGCTGCAGGTGGGAAGGCAGGCACGAGGTCACCCTAGACAAACCCATTCTTGGGGGGGGTCCGGGGCACCCAGAGAGTCTACCACGGTGCTGCATGAGTACTTGTCAAATGAATACTTGTTGCTAATAGTGAAGAAAACACAACTAGCTGCCATTTAGTGAAACTTGCCACGTGCAGGCCCCGGGCTCTGCCTTTCATTTGCACAGCCTCGGTGACTATAGCAACCTCGCGAGGCCGGTACTAATTATACAATGATGAGATAGATGTCAGGCAAAGATGGGTGACTTGCCCAAGATATGCAGCTAGGGTTTGGCGGTTTGAAATGCAAACCTAGATTTATTTGCCTTTATCCTAGGTGATGCGCATGCTCAGTAGAGACTGGGAAACATTGGGCTAGACAATGTGCATTCAAACCTCTTTCTTTCTATGTTGTTATTTGTGTTATTTCTTTTAGCAGCTTATTTTTGTGAGATTTGGGCCTGTGCTGACCTGCGAGATTGTTAACTGCTAAAGTCATTTAAAAACCTCGACTGAATGCTGCCTTGGCCCAGGTGCCCTTCCCCTCTCCCTTCAGCAGCACTGTCTCCATGGGTACCCAGGTGTCACGTGGCTTTAGGCTGAGTCCTTCTCAGTCCAGCGCTGGCGTCTTTGAACCCCTGGTGAACTCAGGGTGAGGAGCCAAGGCCTCACGCATTCCCGGGCCGCTCCTCTATTTCCTGGCTTCAGCCCATGGAAGCACCCCTGTCAGCCCCTCACTGCTTTCTCTCATAGTCCCAGGCCATGGCAGTATTTGCCCAAGTAGAGTCCGTTTACTTTACAAACCATACTCAAGCTTTCCTGGACACTGAGCAGCTGCTCCCTGACGTCTCTACCAGAGCCCTGTTTGCACGGCAGGTTGTCAGCAAACAGACCGCCCTGACCAAGCCTCAAAGGGGTGCTTCCCAGTGGGATGCGCAGAAGGTATGCGGAAGACTCCTGGCTTCTCCTCAACAGACACCTCCCTCGGTTCATTATTTCAAAAGAAATACAGCATTTATACAGAAGTGTCCAAAGACATCTATGTGGAACGTAAGTAGCAATGACACACCCACCACATGGTAGCCACTGGGCTTTTGCCCCAGCAGATCTCCTCTCTTTCTTGGTAGGAAGAAGTTCAGCACAGTGGTTATTAAAGTAGTCTCCACAGCAATACTACCTAAAGTTATATCCTGGTCTCCCCTGAAAGCGACTTAATCTCTCTGTAGCTGCTTTCTCATCTGTAAAATGGGGCTAAGAATCCTGTGTGGAGGATTACATAAGGTAGTGATATAAAGTACTTAGAATAGGGTCTAGTACATAATAAATTCTCACTAAATATTAACATTTCTTTGTCTTTCTGCTGGCTAAGAGAGCACAGAGTTATGAGGGGTTGGTGTTGCTGTTGATGGTGTGTCATTCCAGTGTTGATGATCCTTTCAGAGGGAAAATGGGCAAAGTTGAAATGCTTGTCAGTACCTCTGCTTTACAGATATAGCAGAATTTGGTGGGAACAGATCTTGACACAAAGGGGCTTACTAACGATGACAACTGGATGCCCAGAAATCTGGTTCTCGTCTCATTTCTATTGCATTTATCCCTGTTTAGTATCCAACACCACCTGCCTCCCACCCCACTATATCTAAGGGGCACTTCTTGTTCCTCTTCTGAATAGACTTGTTATGGAAATATAATATTTTCTGGCCCAGGAAGGATAATATTTGTGTGTATATTCCACTATTTTTGCATTTGTATAGCTCTTTGTCGTTCACAAAGGGTTTCCTCATACATTATTTTTTCCCTATTGGAAAACTACCAGATAGATATTTCTTGCTAAACTGAGTCTCTTTGGGGCCTCCATGTGGTCTTGTCATCTAAACAGCAAGCACTGACTTCTATAGTCACATTGCCTTCATCTGCAGCAGAACAAAACGGAGTCCATGGAATAAGGCCACAGGGAGCATCAGTTCCCAGGCTTGCATTGCCCATTGTGCCAATGAGCTTCTCCTGCGGGCCCCTCCTCAGACCCAGCTGCCTGCTTTCCCTGGCCATTCAGGTCCTCCGTGAGCTGCAGCACCTACTGTGAGGTGTGCCCTGCAAAGTCCTCACCTGCAATGAGGGCCATGCAAGGAAAAGACCTTTGGAAAAATCCCATGTAATTTTTCTCTGGAAAGGAGTTGAAGATAAGCGATCTGTCAGTGAATAGAGTTGTCACACTCCAGTTCCCCAGCCTAGCCCTAGACATTCTGGTGCCTACAAGTGTCATTTCTTGGCAAAGTCGAAGGGAGCATTAGTTTCCACCTGGTGTTTCTGATTCAATCAGCTCTTGACCCAATGAGCAAACACAGGCCAACCTCCTCAGCCGCAATTAGAATATTCTCCTGACTTTCCCTAGCCCGGGCCTGCTCTGGTGTACTTAGCAACTGCCATGAGCACCCCCCCGCCTTTATTTTAATGGCTTCCATTTGGTAAGTATTTATAGAGTTAGCCAGTCCCTGCAGGTATTATTATGCTCCTAAGGTGCAGAAAAAATAGTACAGCCCCACCCACTTCTCTCCTTTGGGCTCAGGCATCAGCCTGTTCTTGTCCTTACTTGGCTCTAGGTTTTCTGTATTCCTGTAATGACCAGTAGGGGGCGCTGTGTGGCCACAAAAGTCTTCCCAAGGGCTTGACAGTTCCGGTTTCCCCCGGTGTTCTTTGACCTGGCCATCGCTCCACCTGCAGCGGGTGTTGCCAAGTTGCAGGAAATCTAATCTACCTCTTACCAGGACCAGAGCAGCTGGATGAAATGCAGGGCAGCACATTTCGCAGGAATTGAAACAATGGATGGCTAATTTTTGGTGTTGAAGTGACAATGAATTTATGGATTTGGGATGAATCACTAAATGATACTGACACCAACTCTTTATACTCCTGCATTTCCTCAATTAATTTGAAAATTGATCTGCTTTCCCTAAATAAAAAATTTATAACATAAAGCTTTCACTGTGTGTGTAGCTAAGTTCTGTTAAGATTTTAAAAAGGAAAGCTTCATGCACAAACAAAATATCTCATGAGGATTTTTTTTTCAACCCAGGATTCCTGAAGGGAAACATTAAAAAAATATTTAGAGTTTTGTGTCTAGTTTTTACACTAGTCTAACATGGAATAGGAGAATTTTGGTAGAAATAACAAAATTTTGGTACCAAAAACAAAATAAAAAAGCTGTCAAGGGGTAACTGACACTCCCAGTGATGTACACAGCAACTGTTAGCAGAAATGAAATAAAATAAGGTACGTGGGAAAGGGCATTGCACACCATGGACTGCCATAGGAGGGCCAGGACAGGGGAGGGTAAAGGAGGGCGCTGGACCATCACCTCCCCGATCTTCCAGGTATGGGCCAAAGGGCCTTGGCCGCCCCCTGAGAGCCCCCACCTCTTTTCCCTGCCAGGGGCTCCACTCCTATTTTCTGCTTCTATTCTTTTTCTTGATCCTCTTCCTTCTTTTCACTTGTAGATTCCCACCCCTCTACACACACGTACTCCCCACAAAAGAGTTTCCCATCCGTGTTCCCCACCCAGTGTATGATCTAGCCATTAAGGCTTTGGGGAGTAACAGGTGAAATGAAGCACAGCTCACCAACCCCACTGTAATGACACTGTTCTGTGTCTGTCACCCCATTAAGGAGAAAGTCTGTGAGTCATTCCCAATGTCTAACAGCATGGTTGCTTAGAGGTGTTCAACAAATATTATGGATCTCAACTAAACGGGAACCTCCAAAGAAATGTGAGCAAGCTTACATGGAAACAGTACATTGAGAATCCATTGCTGATGGATTTGCATGATTTAAAGAATCACACAAAAGGGGGCTCAGACATCAGAATTTTTTATAGAAATAATTTTTTATTTTTCAATTACAGGATATATTACTTTTGAGCATACAATATAGTGATTAGGCATTTATATAACTTATAAAGTGATCCCACTGATAATTTTAGTGCCCACCTGCCTCCACACATATTTATTACAATATTATTGACTATATCCCCTATGCTGTATTTTATATCCCCGTGACTATTTTGTAACTGCCAATTTGTTCTTAATCTCTCCCCCTTTCTCATCCAGTTCCCAACCCTCCTCCTATCTGACTACCACCAGTCTGATCTCTGCATCTAAGAGTCTGTTTCTGTTGTGTTTATTCATTTATTTTGTGTTTTAGAGTCTATTCAATACTTTTAAATGAAATCATATGGTATTTGTCTTTCTCTATCAGACATCAGGTTTGACAGCACTTTTTTTTTGCATTTGTTTTTCTTTTATAGTTCTCATTTCTCTTTATTATGACATAAAAGAGTGCTCGGTAATGTCATGCCTCTCTTGAAATATTTAAACTTATTTTATGTATTTCACATAATATATATTACATATTATATTTCTTTATTAACTGTCTTATTAACTACATAAGATGTATTATTGGCCCCATTTTCAAAAAGGAAACTAAGTTTTACGTAAATAATAAATGACATTGAAAACCATGAGGTATGGAAGTGATTATTTATTTATAATAAGAAAATAGATCACAAAATTTAAAAAGGTGACAAATACCATAAATATTTCAAAATCCAGGAAAATAACATAATCCTTAAATAATTAACTACCTTATGTACCTTTATAAGACTCTTTTCTTCATTAAAAAAAATTGTAGTAAGATATACACAAGACAAAATTTACCATTTTAACTGTAGTTCTGTTGCATTAAGTACATTCACACTGTATGCAAACAAAACCACCATCCATCTCAAGAATTTTTTCGTTTTCCCAAACTGAAACTCTGTCCCCATTAAACAACTCCCCATTCCCCACCGCACTCTCCAGCACCAATCATTCTATTTTGTGTCTCTTTGAATTTGACCACCTTAGTTACCTTATATAAGTGGAAATGTAAAATATTTGTTCTTTTGTTAATGTCTTAATTTGCTTAACACAATGTCTTCAAGGTTTATCCATGCTGTAGTACATGCCAGAATTTCCTTCCCTTTGAAGCCTGAAAAAGATTCCATTGTATGATGTTTGCCCATTCATCCATCAATGGATGACACTTGGGTTGCTTTCTCCTTTGGCTACTGTGAATGATGTATGAACTTGGGTGAACAAATAACTGTCCCAGTCTTGCTTTTACTTCTTTTAGATGTCCACCCAAAAGTACAATTGTTAAATCATATGATAAGTCTTTGGTTAATTTGTGGGAGAATTGCCATACCATTTTCCACAGTGGCTATGCCATTTTATATTCCCACCAACAATGCACAAGTTTTCCAATTTTTCCAGATCCTCACTAACACTTGTTATTGTGGTTTTTGTTTGTTTGTTTGTTTTTTGGTAATAGTAGCTGTCCTAATGAATGTGCAATGGTTCCTATATTTATGAGTTTATAGTGTTTGATCTCCTTTTCATACATCAATGATTTTATATTACTACTTTCTTAAAAAGACAATTCAGGTGTTTCTCTAACATGGTGGTTGGGATTCGTAACACATGTGATTTCACAAAGACATAGCCACGGTGCAAACACTGCCACAGACTTGTGCCCTACAAACACAGCATCCTGATAAACACTTGATTTTCATTTAAAGCAAACAAACAAACATATGATGCATTCAATTTATAGTCTGCATTGAATATATTCATTCCTGAGAGAAGAGAACTTCTGTGAACTCAGTGTCATTGTGAACCACCTTGGCCATTGAAAAGTGTACCTGCCTTGAGAGGTGAAGGCTTCACCTTTGTGTTCTGATGCTGGGTTCATCTGTGCAGTGGGAAGTGAACACACCCCTAGGAGCCATTTGTATACCAAAACAGCTAGCAATAACTTAACTATGCACACAAAAGACTGCTAACCACATAGATGCATCTGGTCAACCCAAATTAAGTGTATCCGTATTCAACTTCTCCTTAGCAGGATCC